TCTTTTTATTGTTAAGGACAGTTGCCTTAATCAACCTCATGAATCATTAATCATGATTGGTTATCAAGTAACCATACGTTGCACTTTTTTTATTGTTAAGGACAGTTGCCTTAATCAGCCTCATAAATCATTAATCATGATTGGTTATCAAGTAACCATACGTTGCACTCTTTTTATTGTTAAGGACAGTTGCCTTAATCAGCCTCATGAATCATTAATCGTGATTGGTTATCAAGTAACCATACGTTGCACTCTTTTTATTGTTAAGGACAGTTGCCTTAATCAGCCTCATGAATCATTAATCATGATTGGTTATCAAGTAACCATACGTTGCACTCTTTTTATTGTTAAGGACAGTTGCCTTAATCAGCCTCATGAATCATTAATCATGATTGGTTATCAAGTGACCATACATCGCATTCTTTTTATTGTTAAGGACAGTTGCCTTAATCAGCCTCATGAATCATTAATCATGATTGGTTATCAAGTGGCCATACATCGCATTCTTTTTATTGTTAAGGACAGTTGCCTTAATCAACCTCATGAATCATTAATCATGATTGGTTATCAAGTAACCATACGTTGCACTTTTTTTATTGTTAAGGACAGTTGCCTTAATCAGCCTCATAAATCATTAATCATGATTGGTTATCAAGTAACCATACGTTGCACTCTTTTTATTGTTAAGGACAGTTGCCTTAATCAGCCTCATGAATCATTAATCGTGATTGGTTATCAAGTAACCATACGTTGCACTCTTTTTATTGTTAAGGACAGTTGCCTTAATCAGCCTCATGAATCATTAATCATGATTGGTTATCAAGTAACCATACGTTGCACTCTTTTTATTGTTAAGGACAGTTGCCTTAATCAGCCTCATGAATCATTAATCATGATTGGTTATCAAGTGACCATACATTGCACTCTTTTTATTGTTAAGGACAGTCACCTCCTTCACGCATGCTATTGTCTAGCCAGAATTCAGCTTTTTAGACATAAACAAAGACCTTTCGATGCGCTTTCGATGCGAAGCAGTAAGCATGGGTACACAAAGCTGTTTGATTTTGCAATGATTTTCCTATTGGATGTTTGGTCTTTTTTAACGTTTGGTCACCCACAGATCTTTTTTAACTTTCTTTAAGCTTGTGGAATGTACCGTGACATATCCTGGTTTTAAAATGATACTGTCAATGGATTATTCACTGGAAATTATTTACTTTATGATATATTTAGCTATTTTTTCAAAAACGGTTTCAGATTCTACCTGACCTTCAAACTTGAATTGACACCTTTCATTCCATCTCCGATACACAGATCCCCAAATCCTTAAGTCCCAAATCCCTAAAATTCCCAGATCCATTGTTCACCCTTCCTTTTTCGTCGTTTCTTTGCTTCTTTTCGAATATGCGTTCAGAAAACAAAGTATAATCCTTGCAAATTTCCGTTGCTACCCTCCCTATTTGCATATAAATTTATGGCCACATTAATGTTATTAGGAAGAAAAATTTGAGTTTCTTGTATAGACCATGATACGTCTGATAAACTTATGTTTTTTGGGAGTAGAATAAAACGAGGCATAAGCATAGGGCAAAATAAAGTTGAAAAATTTGTCAGTCCTATCTGGATGTAGCTATTTTAACATTAAAAAATGTTCTGTCCTTGAATGCACAGAAAATAGTTAATTGGCTAGGTACCCCTTGCAGTCCCCCTCCTTTCTCTTCAAAAACTTTGGCCCCCTTTTTCTTATTTTTTGGCTGGTGCCTGTTAGCACGTTTTCAGCCCTCTTGTTTCTTACCAAAACCTTGATGATATGATAAGTTGGTAATTCATGATAACATTGGCTAGTTTGTGTTTTAGCTCTAAATTTGTCTGTGTGATTTTATCCCTATAAATGTGGCTGTTGTGAAATTGAATGCAATGGACAGATGGAAAGAGGCATAGACCATCTGCCAATCAGTGTTAGCCAGCCAAAAAGCGCGCGAAGGGTATCATACCCACTTATTGGCCAATTTTTGATTGACAGATGGCTTATAATTTTCAGCCAGCCAATCAAAAAGCACGTTAAGGGAATCATGTTCGCTCATTGGCCAAATTTTGATTGACAGATGTCTTAAGCCACCCTCGTGTCTTTTGATTGCCTTGAAGCAGCATTAGTGCTACTGTTGTGGCAAAGTAGCAATCAGCCATTTGCAATTGAATTCTCCTCTCCTACGCAGGGACAAGAACTGCGCAAGGGATGACTTTGTATTCTACTCGCAGCGCTTAATGAGGATTTTGATCGAAAAAGCGATGTCCTTGCTACCATTCAAGGTGGGTGTGAAAAGGATAAGTAACGAATCTTACGAAATTCTCATTGTATACCTTCTGAAATGCAGACGTTAAAGAATTACATTCGCAATTTTGAACATTTTTTTTAATTGGCGTCTGGTACAAATTTGCTTAGTATAAACATTTTTTTAGGTCGAAAAACCTATTTCGATGCTTCAGAATAGAGCTTAAGTTGGTATCATTCTAAAATTTTCTTCATTTATTTACAAAGGCGGGCAACGTGCAATATTTCTAACAGCTGATATGCCATACTTGA